GAGATGGGGGAATTGTATACTAATAACGGAGCGAACTGGTGGGGAGGGGTGGGCAGGGAGAAAAGTGCGGCAATGAATGAATGGAAATACAAAACCTCTGTAAATGTCTATTAAAAATTAATAAAAGAAGAAAAAAGAAAGAGGGGAGGAGAAGAAAAAAAAAGATGGAGTTGTGATGCTGGAAAAAAAAAAGGTTAGCCATTGGGCAATTCAAGGAGTGTATTCCACAGGGTCACCATTAGTTGAAGTGTCAAACTGCCTATAGATAATTTTATACACACACACACACACACACACTCTTTCAAAAAGTTGAATGTTTAATATTAGCCTTCTTTGCTGGTTTTTTTAACGTATTAAAGAGGGAGGAAAGGGAACAGAATTATCCTTGGTAAGTCAGGAGGGCGAGCGAGTCCTTAGCGAGTTGCACTGGTACCTCAAGAGGGCACTTCTTATGCAGTTCAAATCCACCAGTGACTCCCTGGAAAGATATGCAATCTCCTCCCATTCGATTTACAGTCTCTGAAAAGCTGCTGATGGGCCAGCTATGAGTGGGTTTAGACTCGACCACAATGTTTGAATTTTAAGCTAATAAGTATGAAAAATAGCCAAGAAAGCCAATATTAGGTAATCAGCTTTTCAACTAGTCCCAAGGCGAATTCAGAACTCGTTCCACAAGTTTATTACTTTTTAAAAAGTAGTTCTTTTAAAATCAGTTTCTTGAAGGGGAGGGGGTAATGAACACGAAATACAGAGCTGTTCCTTTCAATAAAATAGGCAGGAGAGACTGGAAAAAAAAATGCCCACCCACAGTATTAAAATACAGAAAACTTGGCTAAAAAATAAAGGAACGGGTGGAGGAGCAAAAAAAAAAAAATGCGTTCGCCTCACATGACCACGATGAGCTGTTCCTACTCTGGTTCTAATTTTAGAGAGAATGAATTTTAGGGAGGGCCCACTTTTACACATTCACTCAAGAGGAGGAGTGCACAAAAATCTGGCCACGTCACCAGTTCCAGCTAGGCTCCGCGCTCCTCCTGGCGGGCAGGTCCGGGGACTCCGCGGGAAGCAGGAGCAGCGACATCGAAAAAGGGGACAAGACGGGGCAGGGTAATGGGGGGAGGAAGGAGGCTGGAGAGGGGAAGTATGCAATGAGCACGATGTGTTCCTATTACTCGCAGATTCCTTTTTCTCCTAAACTTTTTGGGCATTAAGACAAATCCTAAAACTCCTTTTGACGCGCGCTAAGTTGTCGTAGTTCCAAGACTTGCACGGCCTTACCTGTGCCATGGCGAATGCTCAAGTCAGGAGATGGTGATTCGAGACTGCAAGAAAGGACAGAGATAGTTGGTGGGGCGAAGTGGACTGTAGTTTCAGCCCCACCCAGTAGGGCAGGTCGGAGGATGAGCTGCGGGGCTCCCGGCGCACCAGGCGGACGCGCCCTAGTCCGCGCTCAGGTCTGTGACTGCCCCGCCGCCCCGCCGAATGAACCTGTCGCTGGGCACCTCGTTCCCCACTCGAGCGGTGAGCCCCTGGCCGAGGAAGCGGCACTCACCCAGGCAGAGCGCTTCGAACCTTACCAGCAGCGGTGGCGTGCACAGAGCGTCTGCGTAGGGATGCGGACCGAGACCAGATCAGCCGCTTTCAGCCAGCTCCAAGCAACGGAAATGCCACCTGCCCCGCCCCGGCCTGGCCCTCAGAGGCCCTCGCCCAACCCAAACTAGCCAGGCACGCCCACCGCCCTTGGTCCGCCCCGCCCACCGCCCATGCCGACCGCACCCACCGCCCCGCTGGTCTCGCAGCGCCGAAGCAGAGTGGTTCAATGCGCCTGCGTAAAGCGAGGTCTGTCCCGAGTCTCGGCTGCAGTCCCGCGCTTCCCAAAGCTTTGGGTGGGGCCCGATCCTGGCCTAGTTGCGACAGGAGGAGGCGCTGTCACCCCGAAAGCCTGAGAACAACCTTGTCCTCTCTCTGCACGAAGGATGTGGGGAGCTGTCCGGTATTCGGGATCCCAGGGCCCTAAGGCCTTCGCCCTGCCTGTGGTCTCACCCCCGGTGCTCCCAACATAGCCGTGCAGTGTGTGGGCCGCCTTTTTGCAAAGTCATTGCAGCCAAGGACAAGGCGTCTTTGACCATGGAAATAGAAAAATATGAAGCTGTAAGAGCAAAGCCCTTTATAAGGTGTTGGAAGTTTGTATTAAGAAGAAAAAGTGTGAATGCTTGTGTTCTAGACGATCCTTTCTTAATTTTCCAGTCCTTTTGTAGTAAATTTAGAGTTCTTTAAAGTCTCTGTCAAGGATCCATTTCTATTTTCAAAACTAGCCTTGAACTTTAACATAAACTTAAAACTGGACTATGTTCTATATTGGTACAAATACATTGAAATAAATATGTATGCGTGCGTATATATATATATACACACATATATACATACAAACAGAGAGGCGAGCTAACTAAACTGATGTAGAAAAGCACAGACACTTTGCCTTTCTCAGCATTAGAAACCTGAGGCGCCAGGGAGGAGTGGGGAAAGGCTTGAAACACTGTATAGTATCCTCTAGAGGATGTGAGGTACAAAATGCTCTAGAAGTTTCAGCAGGCAGGGAACAGTTAGGAAGGAAAAGAAGGGATGACCTGCCCTCCGGGGAACTTAGGAGCTAGAACTAAAATAAAAAGTGTTCAAATGTTCACTCTGCCTGCATACCAGGTGTGTGACTTGGACAAATTGTTTAATTTCTCATATCCTGTTTCCTTATCTAGAGTAATGGTTAGGAATAAATGAATTAATCTGTGTAAATGCTTAACATGCCTAGTAAAACATAGAAGCATTGGTTCTTTCTACTTCCAAAATGTCTCACTACCAACCCTCATTTCCCATTCTGGGGAATCTGGGCATCCAAACCCCACTTTCACATTCTGAAAAAGGAGAAACTTGCCTCTTCTGGAGGAACTGTTGCTGCCCTATCACCAGGTGAATCTCTCTGGGCTAATCAACCTCGAGCTTCCTGGTGTCATTCCCTCTCTCTGCCTAAACTAGAGCCTCCACTCAATGGATGATCAAGCAACAGCTGCCCTAGTTCCTCATTCACCACCCTCCTTTCCATATACAGGCTCTCTTGTCACCGACTGTTGGTGCCAAAAACTTCAAAGCACCTCTGAGAATTCAGTCCAAGCAATTTAGTTCTTCCAAGGAGCCCTGTTTAAAAACTTAACTGCTAACCAAAAGGCCAATGGTTGCAATCTACCACTTGCTCCATGAGAACTTCATCCATCTTTAAAAGACCTAGGGCAGGAAGCTGAGGTTAAACTGCATTCCTCAGTGTGCTGTTTCTACCATCACAAATACATCCCAATGGGACATGCTAGAATGGAGAACACCATCCAGCTGTTCCGAATAGTTAGCCTTTAGATTTGAAGTAGTTGTAGCATCCCTGGGGAAAACAGTTCAAATTTGCTTCCAGACCCTTGCCCTGGGCTAACTGTTTAAAAAAGAAATCTCCTTATTGATCCTACTGCTGACCAGACATTAAGAGCAGAAACTCTCTGCTCAAAAGAAGAAGGTTTAGGGGTGAGGGAGAAATCATGAACAAATCCTTTCACATTGAGTTGATTCAGCTTATTGTGACCCTGTAGGACAAAGTTGTAAGTTTTATGGACGTAGACTTTCCTAAATTTCTCCTGTGGAGTGGCTCAGGGGTCCAAACCATTGATCTTTTGATTAGCAGCCAAGGACTGCCCTCCAAGGGCTATCTAACAAAAATTGTTGTGATGTGCCATTGAGTCACTTACTACTCATAGGGACCCTTTGTACAAATAGCTTTGAACTCCGCCCTATTCTAAGCCTGTTCTCACTGACTTCAATACATCTACCCCAACTACCCTAGTTTACTGTGTCAATTCATTGCACTGGTGATTTTCAGCTTTAGTTATCTTTACATTCTTGTTATTCAAAACAATATTGTAATCAGCAGGGAACCTGAATGCCGCTCTTGGGTAAAATAATTATGGCATCTCATAAAATCTCTCAGGCTTAAGGGTTTTGGCTTAATTAAAATCCTCAGAGCTATTAGCAAAACAAGTTATAAAAGCACTAAGTCCATTTATCAAAAGGCAGGGATCTTGTCTCTTATTTATCCCTGAATCCTCCTCACCTGACACAGAGTTCAGCACTGGGTAAACCAAACCTAGTGGACATTGATTCCAACTCATGGTGGCCTCTGTGTGTTACAGTGAAAGTACACTCCATAGGGTAATACAAAAGAAAAGAATTACCTGTGGTCTTTTAATCACCACCAACTCATGGTGATCCTATTGTACAACAAAATAAAACCCTGCCTAATTCTTTACAATATTCACAGCCTCTCTTGTACTTGGATGATTTAAAAAAAGTAAATTATACACAATAAAAGGTTGATAAGACAGGGAGCTATGGTGACCTATGTTGTTGTTGTTATATGCCATTGAGTCACTTGCGACTCATAGCAACCCTATGTACAACAGCCCTAAACCCTGCTCTATTCCTTGCCAATCTTGTTGTCTCTGACGCTCCTATCCCCATTACTCCAGTGACAAAATCAATCCATCTCATTGAGGGTCTTCTTCTCATGTGCCATCCCTCCAACCTCCCAAGCATGACATCCCTCTCCAAGTACTGGTTCCTCCTTGCAACATGCCCTAAGTATGTCAGATGAAGCTTCAATTCCTTAGATAAGGAATTTTGCTTCCAATATAAAAGCAGGCAGTTCCAATTCCACCAATGGCTTGGTGAGAGAAAGATGGGCAATCTCCTTGAGTATGATCTACAGCCTCTGAAAACTCATAGCCAGAAGATCAGCTATGAGTTGATTCCAACTTGACTGCATCTATCAATAAGAAGACATTTAACAAATGAACTACATTGATCAATG